TTTAAATGTGAGTCCAGATGTCACGCGCCTTACGCCTCATGAACTGCGGGAGAAAATTAGCAATTACTCGAGCAATGCTATGTTTTCCTGTGCAACAGGATGCAGGACACGCTTATGATTCCAATAAACGCCGACCTTGGCTGTTAGCTTAAACTAGGATGTATTACAATAAAATGTAAAATCACTGAGGGAACCACATGCAACAAAGAATGCTGATGAAATATTAGATACGTAATACAATGCGTATCAACGGTGCCCAAAATTTGCCATAATGAATTATAACAATTTTTATTAATTGAAGGAAAGAAATTATTTAAATATTAATTTTGGAATTTAGAGATAATAGTTTCTCCATCCCAAACTCCGAAATATGAAACTTTATTTTCATTTATGTTTTAATCATTTCATATATAATGTACTTTTAAATAAAAGAAAAGTTACAGGTCCAACCTTTTGAAAACATCAGACAAAAAAGTTTTCATTTATTTAAAATTTAATATATTTATCGAAATTGATAAAGCACTTCGCACGTAAATTTCAGTATATTTAAAAAATAAAATGTCCTACATATTAAGGCACTACAACATTAAGGTGTAGATGGGGCGCTGGGGTAAACTTACACGGAAACTACACCTCTAAACTAGATTAAGGTAATAACACACTTCACTCTCCGGTCCATTTAAACACGGAAAATTACCCGGTATTACTAAACAAATGTGACGCTGCGTGGATTGAATTCTTCTTTGAATTCGGCGGCGAGGACAAAAATATTGTCCCTCCCGGTAAACAATCCAAATAATTTTGCTACCAGTCACGACAGCGTGTATTTCTCTGGGGAGTCGATAAACGCATTTAGAATATCAATAAAACATATTAACGCCTCATTTGTAAGTGTAATAAAATGTAAAATAATTTTATCACCCCTGTTATTATGTCGTCAAACTCATGAGTTCGGGATGAGGGGAATCACCTGCTTCATCACGTGGAATTGTTCATGGACGTCTTAATGACCACATGATTCAAGTTCTACTGCCAGAAACCCTTGCTGGTTATCCATATATAAGCTGATGCAAAACACCAGCAAAGCCATCTCGTCAAAATGTTATTTGCCTGTCTGCCTGTGTTCTTGGCTCTCGCCTGCTGTGTGGCTGCAGCGAACACATATGAAGGCTCCCCAGCTCAAGCGAGTAGCCTGCACTCAGGTCAGTTCAAATCAATTAAAACTCTTAAACTGTAATTAATGGTGTAATTGGCGACGCTGTTAGTATCTCAGACTATATAGCGTCTGTTGTTAGAATGATAAGAGAATAAAGTATTTGAAAGGAGGCGTCCGTTCCTACAGCTAACTAAATACTTCGGTTGGTTACTTTGAACAGTTAAATATTAAATTAATTAATCTTATCCGTATAATAACAATTTAAAATTAAGATAATTAAAATACAATGTGATGCTCCTTATCGAAACATTCGATTTACATTTGGAACATCACTTTCTCACTACATGTTTCGGTTCTTAGATGAACCATCTTCAGGTGTGTAAAAATTACAATTATATAAACTTAAAACTTAATCGTAATTTCTTATATGCAACTTTTTTGTAGTTGTTTATTAGTTAATAGTGATGTTCACTTCCAGATTCAATTTTAATATATATGAAGTTGTTCTATATATGTGCTTCGTGTTCAAATAAACTTTTAGGTTGGTGAATGTTTTTGTTGATGTTTTTATATCGGTCTGTAATGTAAATAATTCAAAGAATAAATAAATATTATTGAATGAATAAGAATAAAGAGAATAGAAAACAAAACAATAAATTTGAAAAGTAAATTTGAACATACCAGAGATGAGTAATTAAATATATATATTTTCACAATATGACGCAACTCTATCATCTTAAATATTAAAGTTAATCATGTGAATTGATGGTTTGACAATATAGTGTTATGGAAATAGTGGTAAGCCATAAAATTATTAATATGAGATAAACATGTGGTGAAATTTTCATTATTAAGTTAAAACCGAATTAATACATTAAATCACAAGATTTTCCGATCGATAAGAAAGAATTAGTTCACTGAAATTATCAAGGCAACGAGTGTGATGATGAGTGTTTCCTGATATTACACCGTGTGGTCTTGTAGAATTAACCTACCTTTCAGGGATATTTACCGCTTCAATCATAAGTTATGGAGGCAGCAAGCTACTCTGAAACGTCGGCCAGTGCCACATTTTACGGTGTAACATTCCAGAAGACAGATTTTTTAATGAAACGGACGACTGAACTTTTTCGCCTTCTACTTAGAAGTTACGGTGGTCTAGCGGTTAGAACGCTGGCCTTTCAATCCTGGGGTCTCGGGTTCGATTCCCGGCGGTGACCGAATTTATAACTTGTGTTGGGCAAGGCCGTGGTCTAGGCAACACGGAGTTTTCCTCCGTGGCATCCCAACAATTACTCCATTCACACACAGAAGAAGGCAATGGCAAACCACTTCTGGATCATCTGCCAAGAACGTATATGAACAGGTCCCAGTCCGAGAAAAGGATGGAAGGATCCTGTTCATATGGACCTGTCGTCAGACAGAACACTAAAAATAAAAATAATAAAAAACTTAGAAGTTATGTTTCGTAACGTAACCCTATTCTCAGCAAACATAGATTTATTGCAGGTAAAATTCCTTTACGAGGCGTCCCAGCTTAGCATGCTCTGTGCTTTGTTCTTTGTGTGGGACAGTGCTGCATAGAGTCATCGGCGGTCCGGGCGGAGACACCACGATCACTGTGACGGGGAACGTACAGTTTAAAGAGACGATTACCGTGCATAAGAAGGATACAGATGAAACAGACCACGAGGACGGTGAAACTGAGAGCTACTTTTTCGAGGTGTGTATAAGACAAAGTAGTTAGACGTAAGAGGAACGTAATAACAGAAAGACAGATAATTAAGCTATCAGGAGGTTCATACTGTACGGAATTTGTTTTATTTATAAATTTGAGAAATGTGTTAAACTTTAAATTGTCATATTTCTAAAGAAAGTGTCATTTCCTGCAAGTAAATAAATAATTTTAACGTAGTTTATAATCAAAACGTAGATCAATTTCTGCAGACAATATGAGAAACGCGATTAGCCGGAAAGGAGGACGAAGCTTAAAGTAAGAAGTTAGCAGAGTCTGGGGCAGAAGAAAGTAGAGGAACGGTAGCTGAGAGAGGGGCCAGTGTTAGCCAAACTAACAGGTCGGAAGTTCTAGCTAAAAAGTGCGATATCACGAGAATTTATTAGCTGTACGTCCTATTCATGACAAGCAAGCTGTTAAATGCTGATTCCAAATTTTCGTGTGGGAACCAAATATTGGTGAGATTTGAGGTTATCACAGCGGTGAGTATGAAGATTTCTGTCTTCTGGGTTGTTGCGCTGTGTAGTCTGGTCGATGTTAATCAACGTTTCAGAGGTCATACTGCCTCCGTCATCAGAGTATGAAGAGTTCTGTCTTCTGGGTTGTTGCGCTGTGTAGTATGGTAGATGAATCCCCCTGATGATGGAGGCAGTATGACCTCTGAAACGTTGGTAAACATCGACCAGACTACACAGCGCAACAACCCAGAAGACAGAAATCTTCAAACATTGGTAGTTTATCAAAACTCTTCGTAATTAATATCCATTAAATCTCAAACGTGATATAGCCTACCCCGGATAGGTAAAGTCCTGGAATGCTTATTATATCTCCACAGTCTGCTTTAAGCTTATGATAGCATCCGATCGAGTTGCTTCTCCATCCTGTGCGACTATGTTCACATGATTACTTTTTTCTCATTAACTAAAGAAAAATACACTAAAATGTTTTGAACTATCAAGTACTATTAGGGCGATCAAATGTAGCACAACGAGATGAAGTTGACATTTAGGACGCTTGAGTTAGGTAAAAAAATCCATACTACTTGTGACCGTAACAGCTAACAGAACTGATAAACAACTGTGTTGGAAATGATTTTATATTAAAAGTTATTTTGAAAAGGTGCGGTGCGAATTCATTTAACTCTGTAGTAGGTCCAGTAGCAGATTGTTGTACAGATGGAAAAACAATTTTTTTTTCCGTAAAACCAGGCATTGTTTCGACAAACTTACGAAAACATTTTCAGGAAAATTTCTGTCTGTGATGGGCTGTTACACCACATGGACTTCTAAGTAGATACTGATGTTTCTGATGAGCATATTGCATCCATGTTCGACCTAAATTTCACTTCTGTCCCTTTTTTCAGAGATGCTGTAATATTACTTTTGGCCAATCATTCAGGTATCTTTGGAGAGAATGTGTAGATGAAACAAAGAATGGCCTTTCAGAAACAGGTACGTCTGAGAGCAAACATTTAGCTCCTTCATTCTGAAACAAACTTAAATACTGCAATGAGTAGCTATAAAATATTTCATGATACATTATTTCTTCCTAATTTTTGGGGCGTGACAAATGTTTTCCTTGACACTAAAATAATTCTTTTAAATTCAATGCACTGTATTTAATAGATTTTAAGAAGCCATTGTTCGTAAAATAGACGCACACTTGATTTAGTAATGGGTTTTCAGAGAAAAAATCGCTATATTGATTCCTAGACGCCATCAATTGCAAGACCTGCCCTGATTTCAGAAATTTTAAAATGAGAAAAAGGGTCTTAAAATATTTGAAATACGGAATGATACAAAACCTGTTATGAAATAATTTCGTCTTAAAGAAAAGCATTATGTATGCATGGGAGCAGTCACATAACTCAGCTGAAAGGAATTTAAATTTAAGTTTGCGCATTAGCAGAATCAATGAAATTTTCAGGAGAACATGCATTTTCACATAACAGATAATGAATTAACAGTGTGTAATTAGAATATTACTTTTCAGTTGCTAATGACGAAAAACCAAGATCACTACTGACTGAATTTAATGTAAGTAAAGTATTGAGTTTTTGCATTACTGCTGTTATAGTCAATAGAACACGAAATTAATCAAATTTTCTTTATCTTCTAGTGTATTATTCAATGCGTGAGCCAGAAACTGGGATTGGTGAGTATCACATAGAATTTTATAGAACATTAGTGCGGTGTTCATTTATTCCTGGCGTTTCATGTGATACTGCGATAAACATTCCTTATTCGCACTGATTTTTATGAGTTATTCCTAACATTGACACATTGATATATGTCCTTATTCATTAAAAAAATCTAAATTTTATATTTTATTCCATTTAAGAGCGAGAAAAATGGCAGAATTAAGTCTGAACAAATGGTCAATTACGTCTTATCAGATAGCAGAACAGTTGCTTTTGGCATATCTGAAAGCATGATCAACAGATGTATCAATATTGCGAAGAACAAAGGATTAGGTAAGACAATACAAAAGAACTTTACAAGGTAACATTATGACACAAAAAATGCACACAGATTTGGCGGTAAATTTCGTGCATAATGATTAAGTAGGTGCGGATATCTGACAGGGAGTGGGCTATCAGTTTCGGAGATATGAAGGGGGCTACCAAACATCGCCGAAATAATGTTATAAAATACTATTACTGAATTATAAACTTACATTATCCAGATATAACACTATCAACACAGGATTTTAAGGATAGCAAATCTGTGAAACAGGAAAGTAAGCTTAATAAGTTGCGGTTACATATTTTTCAGTAAATACACGAGTAACACGAATGACTGAGATGCTATATAGAATCTCAAGTAGCTGGAAAATGGCCCTATTAAGGAATATTCTCGGGTCTAAATTTGTAAAAGGTTTGCATATCTTAAGGACTAGGATGATAATATGGGTATCAATTACAACACTTTATAATGATATAACAATTTCAGGGAAACAGACTCTAGGTCATTACGAGCTGGAGCAGCATAATATAAAAAAAATATTAGGTAAAAGGAAGTAAGCTTCTGACCAGATGTATTTACTATACGATTTATAAGATATACAAATTAATTTATTCACAGAAATAATGAAACCAAATAAGGGAGGCGAAGTGTGTAATACCTCGAACCTTGAAGTCTTCAAGTTTGTGGAATGTATGACAGAACTTGGAAATATTGTAAGTATTTAATGTAGACAAATGTTACACGTGTAGACGTAATATTGAAAATCACTTCACACATAATTAAAATAACAGTAATTTTTACATAATCTGACATTGCCTTGAAACGATGTTTTAATTTTTTAAGTAGTCATTTTGTTCTTAACATAATTTGACATTGCCTTGAAACGATGTTTCAATTTTTTAAGTAGTCATTTTGTTCTTATCCCAAAGAAATCACAAGACGTCAGCATTAAAAAATTATATTGTTTAATGATGTTCGGACCAATAACCAAATTTAGAAAGTTTATTATTAACAGCGACAGAATATTCTATACATAATTGTTGTTTATGCTAAGAATCATATGGCACTCATAAAAGCACTGTGTTGGTAAAATGAGGAATTATTTAATTTTTTTCAGATGGCACATATGACGGTATTACAGTGCTTTAACAAGTTAACTGCATTTGAAATTCATGTAATGAAATGTTTCAGTAAAACTTGATTAATACTTGAATTGCATTAATTTTGATTTTCATTACTCGTTCTGTTAATTTTAACTTTAGAAGTTATTTCAGAATTGCAATGTTCCATTTAATTAATCGGCCCTAAATTGTTTAAATGCTCAGATAATAATTGCATATAAATATTATAAGCCTAATCTAAGACAAACCACGTATATCTGTTATTAGACTATTCATATCTTAAAATTAATACAGAAGAGGGAACAGATTTTGAGGTACGAAGTAGGAAAACACGAGTAGAAGTCGGAGGGATAATTTTGTCAACTGGAATACAAAATATGATTCTGTGAGTTCTGCGAATATCAAGTGAAAATTTTGGTACTTCCTAAGCCTAAATCCAGACAGAACTGGATTTTGCCCTTAATTCTGCTTGTATTTGGCCACGCTGTAAAAAATACGAGGCTGAAAAAATCGTATAAACTCTCTCTGTCGACGTTGGTCTTCTGGGTTGTGACGCCGTGTGGATTTGCAGGTAGTACCAGCGTTTCCAAGGGACATACTGCCTTCATCTGTGGGTGTTGGAGGCAGTACGTTCCTCCGTCACGCGGGAACTATATTTACAAATTCACACGGCGTTTCAACGTAAGGACCGCCACCGGCATCTTTGCTGCAGTGAGAAAAATATTGTGAGTGTGATTTTATGACTTCTAGTCCTGGAGGATACTTTTACCTCTATCTTTAAGGAAAAAAGTAAGTCAAGTAGGAATATTGTCAGGCACACACACACACACACACACACATATATATATATATATATAAGAATGGATAAGAAGGACAGAAAAAATCTAACGGCTTACATTATCAGTGGAATATGACGGCTGTCAATTTAGCACAGAAGAACTGATGAATTGAGAAGTGGCGAGGATCGATACTTTCATAAACTGTAAAGATGGAATAATAATGTAAATAGGGGTAGCACAAAAACACATAAATCCGTACGACTTCAAACACTGAAGTTGTTTTAAATTATAAATTTATGATTTACGTATGTAAAGTAAATATTTAAATTGCGTTTAGTGTAGTGAGAAATTACGCCAAGGCGGCATTTGTAATGGTTAACACAAAACGTTATACGGATCAGTAATGTCTGAATCAGAGGTAAACAGATTCATCATTGTTTTTATTGTTGAATAATATTTGTATTTTTGTATCATATTCCTGTTTTAAAGACGAAAGACTTTACACTGTTAATTCACAAAATAAGTTATATTTCTGAAAAAAAATGATTTCATACTATAACATTTAATTCTTCAATGCAGATAAATTTGTAAGTTAAACAATTACTAAATGAATAAATAAATTGTTAATTGGATCAGGAAACCAGTCAACGAACCTAACGTAACACTTAATATCAATCAATATTTATGTTCCCTGATCTTTTATTTAAATATTTTAAGTAACATGTACACGTGTTATTAAACTTATACGTAATAAAAGTTCAATATCTCTTTCAGTACTGTCCTGCAAATTACGTAATCGAAAGTAAGTATCCTTTATTTAAGTGTATAATATTACTAAAATCGATAAATTTGAAAAGTGCTAAAAACAAACCACTGATATCTTTCAAATACTATCACTGTCTCAGTTTATAAGCTAACCCATAAATACCAGATCAGAGTGTTCGAACTGAAATCAGATATCATAACATGCGTTTAATATAGTTCACTTTTGTAAGTTTTATGAACTTCATAAACTCCTGCAGTTCTTCATACGTAACCGAGTGGTTTAAAATAAGTTAACTAAGTGGGAACTTAGGCTCACGTCAGCGAGTTCGGAGTCTTCTGGGATTTAATCCAGACTGTCTGCCTGAAATTATGTATGATTATTAAAATAAAAAATATTTCATGCAATTGGTCAGTAGAATAACGATAGTATGAAATACAACATTATGTTTTTATGGTGATAACCACTAACCTATTGGGGCATTCATCTGGTACCGGGATATATAATAATAAACACAAATTCTATAAGAGTTACTGTTAAAATGTGGGAATTAAGCACGTGATCCAAGATACAACTTTTGAGGTTAAGGCTGACAAATTTAACGTGGACGAAATCTATACGTAACTTTGTTCTTAGCAAAAGTAAACAAGACAGGCTAGTATAAATAATAGTATTAACAATAATAATAGTACATGGAAATTGTTTGTGGGAAAAATAAATTTTCTGACTTTAACATGATTCAATTGCATGATCATATTCGTAAGAGACCAGAATGTTAGACCATGAGCGAAATTGCATTTTGTCATTCGCGTTACCTACATATGACTTGGGTAACAGATTATATGTAAGGCTTCAATATTAATTTGTTTGTCTTATTAAGATACTAAGACATGTCTCTGAGAATTAATAGGTTAAGATAAATCTTGACCTCTTGTCTAAAGACGGAAAATTTTCTTTTGAATAAGACATTAAAGTATTCATTAAATCTTTCCAACAGCTGAGAGGAATCAGATTTATAAAATGCAGATTTCGCTTGTAGAGACTGAACTTTTCCAGTTTTGCTTTCCAGAATTTTCATGCCATAAAATGAACGTGTATATTTTGTTTTACCAGGCAAATCCTGTGACATAAACAGACGGATGATGAAGAAGAAACTGCACGGTGCTTATTAAAATTTGCATTATTTTAGGGACGCAAATATATTCTGTAGAACTGTAAATTAAAGTCTCTTAAACACAATATTTTCTCTGATAAGTTACAATTCTATTGAGACAGAAAACTGTTTTCGTGTTCCACTTTAGTACGTGCAAATGCACTGGATGTCTAAGCAAATAAATAATTATGAGTTGGTGTTCTTTAAATGTCTATCGCTCTGTCACACTTAAGATTGGTGGTACTAGAGATATTCCCATTACGAGGACGTACGTCCTTATGTATTTTGCTGTTTTCTACCATCGGTGGATATTAATTGCAAATATCAGCTTCTGTGGTTCACATAATCCACTTGTTTCCTTTCTATTTCTATAAACATTAACATTTACAAAATTTATTTTGAACTGACTGTTACCTCAGTGATTACATAGTCACAAGAAAGTATATTTTTGTACCTACTATTTCAATGATGGAATAAGGTAAAGAATGATTAGGTATTATATTTTCACTTTAAGTTTCTTTCGATACTTGTGTCTTTAATTTTACGCAATATTTATGTACTTCTACGGAACGTTTTCAATTGAAAAGTTGATTTCTTCCTTGCTATAAGATTTAGGGGATTCGTAGTTGGGAGATTCCATCAATTTGAAGGCCCAGACATGAACCTAAACCCTTTATTTCCACAAGTATTTTTACATCTTTATATTGGTCTCACCGACAAACTTTTACTTCTCTTAATTATAAAGAATTACAATAAAAATATCAATACTTGTGATTCTAAATTTGTTTTAAAATGTTCAATTAGTGTGAGTTTCAAAACATCAGATGTGTATATAGTCAGCCATTCGATTAACCACGAATTTATCTCGGATGCTTCTTTAACGATGTACTCTGCATTCAAGGATTTTTTTCAGCTGGGAATTCATGTTGTGACTGGCGACTATGAAGATTACTCCTTTCTGGAATATTGGTAACTGACTGACCCTTCAGAGGTCCTTATTTCCTCCATAATGAGATTATATTTGAAGACATTATGGAAGACATTCATCTTCAGCCACTCTGAAGTAGGAGCTTGATACTCATTGAATTTATACCTTGAGTTTATAGTCTGCTCAAATACACTACGAATCTAAAATTCGAACCAGTCAATTATAACACATAATTCGGCTTCATTTTGTGATTAAGTAATAAAAATAAGACATTATTATATGCGAATCTCCACACATCAAGAACTTGCACATTTTACAAGTTGATACACTCGTATCATTCAAACTACTCGACCCAGTACGACTTTTTGTTGCATGGAGACGGAAATAATCTTGAAGACCCTTAAAATTAAACACGAAATTGGACCACAGAAAATGCTTCTCTTACTAGCGTAGTGTCCCTGACTAAAAAATAATATCGCCAACCCGTGCGCTCCAGTTTCGTTATAAATATTAGAGAAACACAGAGGTGGGAGGGGTAACAGATAAGGAATTATTTAATGTCCAATTGTGTAAATAATTTGTAGCTCACTGTCTCAGTTCTATGTCGAGAATAACTTTGGTTTCCACAATAAATGATTTTGTTTTCCTTCTACCCGCAACCCACAGATTCGCCCGCCTACAATATTAGGTACAAAGAACCTAGATTTCCTTATTAGAGTGAATCACCTAAAGGTGAATAGTAATTTTTTAAACGCTGTATTGTCAAATTCTTTGATAAAGGATCATCAGGAATAAGTTGGGAATGCATCGAACAAGAAGAGAAAATTTCTGATCTCAGAAAAATTACTGAACCGTAATTTTATATGCCAGACTCCACTCACCAATCATCCGGATTTAACAAGCAAATTTATGTGATGTGTGGGTCGTCGCTGTAAGGTCGGCAGAGAGACTGTGTTTTATACTTTCGTGTTCAATTCTTTCCTTGACCTAGTCTTCAACAATTATCCCGATAATTATTTGGTCACGTGGAAACCTGTTTCTCCACTAAACATATGGGCGAACGGGGTTCGCAGCGTGGTGTTAAGTTGAGTAATGGTCCCCCCGAGGGCTTGGACAGGGCCGGCAGCGTAATGCTATTCATCTTCATCAGATGGCGCCACTGCCCACCAGGAGTGCAATAGGGACCTTGGGAATTAACCCCACTGCTAAAACAGCAAAGGTGGAACGAGAGAACGCAACATGCAAAACAAATACAGACATTCATTTATATATTCTAAACATTTTATTGGATCAGCGAAGAGGTCAGTCCTTTATATTTAAGTGGCAACTATTTATACTCAGAGAGTCTCTTCGTGAGTTTCGTTTATTTCTTAGAACAAGGAATAAGATTCTTCCTAAAAATCATTATTCCACTTACATTTGAAACGGTGATATGGTGATTTTTCCTCCGAAGTAAGAACTGAGGTTACAAAATTTTTTGGGTAAGTTATTTTATTTAAAGAGATAACTTGGGTCTGTGTTCCTTGTTAATTTTTTGGACAGTTATCCGAACCCTTTTGTTATCGGAACAGAAAACATCAGATGAATCAGGCTACACAAAACATCGATAATTTCATATTTTGGTACAGTAAAGAGGAAAAGAAGAGATGTAAATTGCAGTAGGGAGTAAGAAGGCAAACAGTTTGTCTTAAAGTGTTCAGTAAAACTCCAAGCAAGTTTCCCTTTTTACGACTCAGTCAATGGCATTTTGAAACACTGAATTTAAACTACACTGTATTTTGTAAACCAAATTAACTAACAAACACTGGCGATGTAGATACTTCTACTTACTAAATGCAATAATTTCACATCTGAGTTATCTCTTCGCAAGTGCTGCCATGTATTGATCAACAAAACTCGGAATTATTTTGTGTCCACTGTGGCATTTGTATGAATCATTGCTGAGATTGTGGCACAGATGTGACGGGGTTGTTTGCTGGTATGAGCCCCTTGTTAACAAATTAGCATCACAAACCTGGGTTAACTTATGACATTCATTATAGCGTAATGGAGGTGGTTATTGGAATACGGTATGTCCCTTTGCTAGGAACAACACATCACCTTCAGAAAGCATTATATATTTGCGGTATTAGGAACGTTTATGTGTATCTAAGCGAAGATAAACATATTGCGTCATATTTTGTAAATTTGTACTAAAATATACGAGGTGCGATCGGAACGTTTACAGACTGTGTCAATAGAGGGCGAACCGGATGTAGTACGAGCTTCTGCCGCTAGGGGATGCGGCCTACATTCATAGTGAATCAGTGTGCCAGCCGGCATCATCGAATTAGCATTTGTTTCTTAGTTACGGGCGTTTTGGTAGTGCATTACACCGACCCTCCTGCGATTTCGGAATGGCGTGTGCATCAAATTTTGCCAAAGACTCGCCAAAACGGCTACGGAAACCTATGAAATGCTAAAGCAAGCATTTGGGGAGTCCGCAATGGGTCGTGCACAAACTTTGGTGTGGCATTCACGTTTTAAAAATGGCCGAACCTCTGTCGAAGATGACGAGCGTTCTGGACGACCATCTCCGAGCACAACGCCCGAAAATGTTACGAAGATCGACGTCGTACCATCAACGACTTGTGCGACATTGTTGGGATAGGCTAGGGGACCTGTCAGCTGATTCTAAAGGAAGAACTCCACAGGCGACGCATCCTGTCTGAGGACCAGAAGCAGAATCGACTTCTCGTTTGTCAGGAGCTCAAAGATCTTGCAAGAACCGACCCCAACTTCCTTTCTAAGCTCCGTGTGACTTCTTCCTCTTCCCAAAGATGAAAATTCAGCTAAAGGGAAGGAGATTTGAGACGATAGAAGAGATTCAGGCAGAATCGCAGATGGTGCTTGACAGGCTGACAAAGAAAGATTTCCAGGGATGCTTCCAGGCTTGGCAGCGGCGCTGGGATCGTTGTGTTCACTCCCAGGGGAACTACTTCGAGGGTGATGGATGAATTTAATACCTGAGATAAGTGCACGGGTTTTTATATCCTTGTTGCTGAAAAAGAAACGGTGGTGAACATTCATAAACGTTTGTGTGCTGTGTATGGAAGCTGTGCAGTCGATAGGAGCACCGTTGGTCGCTGGGCTAAGAGAGTTAAAGCTTCAGGAAGTGAAGAAACCGAGCTCCGTGATCTGCCGCGCTCTGGGCGTCCTGCCACAGCCACCACTCCAGACATGTTGAACCGCGCGGATGCCATTATTCGTGAGGATCGGCGCATCACAACTCGACAATTGGCCCAACAGCTTTCAGTCAGCAATGGAAGTGTGATTGCAATTATCCAGGCTCTCGCATATTCGAAGGTGTGCGCAAGATGGGTTCCACGAAGTCTCACAGCAGACCACAGGATTCAAAGGAAAACGATTTCTTCTGAATTGTTGGAGCGTTTTGATGCTGAGGGAGAGGTCTTTCTGTCCCGGATCATTACAGGTGACGAAACCTGGATACACCACTTTGAGCCAGAGACAAAAAGGCAGTCAATGGAGTGGCATCATCCTCAATCACCGAGAAAGAAGAAATTCAAGACAACTCCCTCCGCCGGAAAAGTCATGATGACTGTCTTTTGGGACAGTGATGGGGTCATTCTTGTGGATGTGATGCCAAGAGGTGCGACCATCAATTCAGACGCGTACATCAGGACCCTGAAAACCCTCAAGAAGCTTTTTCGACGAGTTCGGCCTCACAAGCATCCAGCAGAAATTTTGCTCCTGCACGACAATGCACGCCCTCACACAAGTCTGAGAACCCGGGAAGAAATCACCAAATTGGGTTGGACGGTGCTACCCCATCCACCCTACAGTCCAGATCTGGCACCCTCCGACTTCCATCTCTTTGGGCCCCTTAAAGATGCTATCCGCGGAACAAGATTTGAAGATGACGAGAGCGTGATTCAAGCAGTGAGGACATGGCTACGGGGACAGGACAAGAGCTGGTACCGGCAAGGCATGCATGCACTTGTTCCACGCTGGCGTAAAACCGTACAAGTTGATGGGGACTATGTGGAAAAATAGTATGTGTAAAGGAAACATTGATTTATATTGTCACTAAATTTGAGCCATCTTGAATAAATATGTTCTGAGGAAAAAATGTGGGGCATTACTTAATGAGCGACCCTCGTATGAGTCATTGCTGAGATTGTGGCACAGATGGGACGGGGTTGTTTGCTGGTGTGAGCCCCTTGTTAAGAAATTAGCATCACAAACCTGGGTTAACTTATGACATTCATTATAGCGTAATG